CGCCGTAGGGCTTCCATTAACGTTGTGGTCGGGATGAGTCATTTACAATTAAATGTCACGCTGTATTATTCAGGCTGCAATCACATTTAAAAGCGTTTTTGAAGCAAAATTGCATGCTTTTGCAGCTTTTTTATGGCGTTTTTCCATCTAGGCGTTTGAAGCACTGCTGAGTTTGAGCAGAAAACGCGTGACAAAGCGCTGGGAAGAAACGCCCAAATGTTCATGTCGCTCTTTTCAGGCGTTTCCACTGAAATCTTTGGGGGACACAAACTCTCAATTCTGCCTGAAAAGTGGCTTATGTACTTTTTTCATCGACAGGCGTTTTGCTACAAGTGACAGAATGCTCAGATGTGAACAAAGGCTATTGAAGGCGACGTTCACACCTATACAAGTTACGATTGAGCCGTTTCTGCATTGCATTTTTGCACCTGCATTTTTGATGTTTTTTTTTTTTTTTTTTCTTGTTGCTAGGCAGATTTAAAACGCAGCAAAAACACGATACATGCTTTTCTGCAGTGTTTCCATTGAAGTCTATAGAACTAAAAATGCAACTTTTTGCATTCAAAAAAAGTCCCTGACCCTTTCCAAAAACCGCACCGGGTTAAAAAGCACAGGTGTGAACATGTCCCATAGGAAATCATGTTAAATGGACTGTACTGCTTTTCTAGAAAACGTTGCGAAAAACACTTATGTGTGAAGCTAGGGTAACCCACATGGAAGAAAAATATATTTGAAATAGATTTTAAAAATATTCTTCACAAATATATTGACATACAGGTGAAACTCGAAAAATTAGAATATCGTGCAAAAGTTTATTTATTTCAGTAATACAACTTAAAAGGTGAAACTAATATATGAGATAGACTCATTACATGCAAAGCAAGATAGTTCAAGCCGTGATTTGTCATCATTGTGATGATTATGGCTTACAGCTCATGAAAACCCCAAATCCCAAATCTCAGAAAATGAGAATATTGTGAAAAGGTGCAATATTCTCGGCTCAAAGTGTCCCACTCTAATCAGCTAATTAAGCCATAACACCTGCAAAGGGTTCCTGAGCCTTTAAATGGTCCCTCAATCTGGTTCAGTAGGAATCACAATCATGGCAAAGACTGCTGACCTGACAGTTGTGCAGAAAACCATCATTGACACCCTCCATAAGGAGGGAAAGCCTCAAAAGGTAATTGCAAAAAGACGTTGGATGTTCCCAAAGTGCTGTATCAAAGCACATTAATAGAAAGTTATGTGGAAGGGAAAAGTGTGGAAGAAAAAGGTGCACAAGCAGCAGGGATGACCGCAGCATGGAGAGGATTGTCAGGAAAAGGCCATTCAAAAGTGTTGGGGACTTTCACAAGGAGTGGACTGAGGCTGGAGTCAGTGCATCAAGAGCCACCACACACAGACGGATCCTGGACATGGGCTTCAAATGTCATATTCCTCTTGTCAAGCCGCTCCTGAACAACAAACAAAGTCAGAAGCATCTTACCTGGGCTAAAGAAAAACAGACCTGGTCTGTTGCTCAGTGGTCCAAAGTCCTCTTTTCTGATGAGAGCAACTTTTGCATCTCATTTGGAAACCCAAGGACCCCGAGTATGGAGGAAGAATGGAGAGGCCCAAGGACCCCGAGTATGGAGGAAGAATGGAGAGGCACACACTGCAAGATGCTTGAAGTCCAGTGTGAAGTTTCCACAGTCTGTGTTGATTTGGGGAGCCATGTCATCTGCTGGTGTTGGTCCATTGTGCTTCATTAAGTCCAGGGTCAATGCAGCCGCCTACCAGGAGATTTTGGAGCACTTCATGCTTCCTTCCGCAGACGAGCTTTATGGGGATGCTGACTTCATTTTCCAGCAGGACTTGGCACCTGCCCACACTGCCAAAAGCACCAAAACCTGGTTCAATGACCGTGGGATTACTGTGCTTGATTGGCCAGCAAACTCGCCTGACCTGAACCCAATAGAGAATCTATGGGGCATTGCCAAGAGAAAGATGAGAGACATGAGACCGAACAATGCAGAAGAGCTGAAGGCCGCTATTGAAGCATCCTGGTCTTCCATAACACCTCAGCAGTGCCACAGGCTGATAGCTTCCATGCCACGCCGCATTGAGGCAGTAATTGCTGCAAAAGGGGCCCAAACCAAGTACTGAGTACATATGTATGCTTATACTTTTCAGAGGTCCGATATTGTTCTATGTACAATCCTTGTTTTATTGATTGCATGGAATATTCTAATTTTCTGAGATTGTGGATTTGGGGTTTTCATGAGCTGTAAACCATAATCATCACAATGATGACAAATCACGGCTTGAACTATCTTGCTTTACATGTAATGAGTCTATCTCATATATTAGTTTCACCTTTTAAGTTGCATTAATAAAATAAATGAACTTTTGCACGATATTCAAATTTTTCGAGTTTTTACATTTGCTGGTTGCATTAGATTTTCTTTTCTTTTGGCTTTTCCCCCTCGGTTTTCACCTGGTGATCTGGCTAGTAACACACCTCCGGTATTAGTGAGACACAGCTCTGGATGAATAAGCACAGGAGGCACAACTGGCAGCAACATTGTCAGTCTGGGGGAAAAGGGGAGGGTCAAATGTATTAGCAGATTTATATACGTTAACAATCTGAAGCCAGACTGCAGCTCACACTTTAAAATCTATTACAGCAAAAAGTTGTTTTCCTTTTTCAGAAAAACGTTTTACAAGAACAAAAAAAAAGCTGATCATTTCAATCACCCCTGCCAGCGTCAATTGGTTTTGTCTCATCCATGTAAACTGACACATTCTGCTGGAGAGCTTGTGCTTTTGAAAAATGGCTAAAAGTAGACAAAAGAAAGCCTAACAAAGTAAACTGCAATATAATTTGTTTATTTCAGGTACTTGTATAACGCCGTCAATTTACGCAGCGCTTTACATATATATATTGTACATTCACATCGGTCCCTAACCCTCAAGGGGCGTACAATCTAAGGTCCATAACCTTCATTCATACATACACATACTAGGGCCAATTTAGACAGGAGCCAGTGTGGGAGGAAACCGGAAAACCCACACAGGCACAGGGAGATCATGCAAACTCCAGGCAGGTGGTGCTGTGGTTGGGATTTGAGCCAACGACCCCAGTACTGCCAGGCGGAAGTGCGAACCATTTAGCCACTGTGCTGCCCATAATATAATCAATGTTTGCTTTTGGGTTTAATGCCTCTTTAAATGCACACAAGTCTGTATACTTGTACAAGGCCAGAGACTCAGCGATGGTTCACACTGATGCGGTGTGGAATTTGCAGCGTTTTCTGTGCAAATGCTGCACCCCATCAGAATCGCACCCCGTTCATACGAACCGATGCGGGTGTGTATGTTAAGTTAACAACACCCTGAAATCGGTCTGCAAAACGCGGTGCGATGTGCAGAATCGGATCGCATAGGTGTGAATACCCATGTGATCCGATTCTAGTGCGGGCCAAAAAAGGGTCCTGCATGTTTTTGGTGCGAGTGCCGTGCAATTAGAGCCATACAAAATGTATGACTCTGATCGCACTGCACACAAATCGCATGTGATATGTACAGGATTGCGGTGCAGTTCCTGTGTAAATCACGTGATATACCGAACCGTATCAGTGTGAACCCGGGCTTAGAAAGGATTGAAGCCGGGGGGGTCAGTATAGGGACCAGGAGGCTACAATCACTCTTGTAGTTCTGCCATGACAGGTGCACTTTACATTAGTCTGGTGACATTCAGTCTGATCTCTGATGTACATTTCTGTTGGGACTTCGTATCCGGCATCCTCTGCCCGTCACCAAAGTGCCGCTCACTGCTGTGCCCATTCTCTGCCCTGTCATTTCAGCTCTATTTTCTTCCTCCGGACTATAATTATGCGGCTTCAGTCACGTCTCGGCGCAGCCACTTGTTATGTCAGGGAATTTATTTCAGCATAACTTAAAGGACGGCTCTTGAAGCTACTGGGGTACTTTACAGCAGATGTAAACCAAAGTGTTAAAATCTCCTATCAGGGGCGGACTGACAACTCATGGGGCCCCCGGGCAATAGGGGATCATGGGGCCCCTGTGTCCTTGCCCAAACTCAAAAAAGCCTATGATAAAGGTACCAGGGGCATCTCATGGGGCCCCCTACTGACCCTCCGGCAATAGGGGATCATGGGGCCCCTGTGTCCTTGCCCAAACTCAAAAAAGCCTATGAAAACGGTATCAGGGGCATCTCATGGGGCCCCCTACTGACCCCAGGCCCTCGGGCAGTGCCTGAGTTTCTAAATGGTCAGTCCACCCCTGTCTCCTATAAACTTTAACAAATGATTGTCGTCTCACATGTCATATTCAGTCTTTGTACTGTAAATCTGCGGCTTTTATTCAAATATTTCCTAGTGATCCTGCAATGAAAGTCTTTGTTCAGCTACTTCCTGTTATAGGGTGACAACACTCTGTCCATGTCTCCCAGTTGTGCTTTTGTGTGGTCACCCTGTCACACGGGCATAGTGCCCCATCATTGGTGTCAGTGGCAGGAATAGTGCCCCATCATTGGAGTCAGTGGCAGGAATAGTGCCCTATCATTGATGTCTGTCGGAGGAATCGTGCCCCATCATTGGTGTCAGTCGGAGGAATAGTGCCCCATCATTGGTGTCAGAGGAATAGTATCCCATCATTGGTGTCAGTGGGAGGAATAGTGCCCCATCATTGGTGTCAGTGGGAGGATCAGTGCCCCATCATGGGTGTCAGTGGAAGGAATAGTGCCCCATCATGGGTGTCAGTCAGAGGAATAGTGCCCCATCATTGGTGTCAGTCGAAGGAAATATCGCTCCATCATAAGTGTCAGTGGGAGGAATAGTGTCACATCATTGGTGTCAGTGGGAGGAATAGCGTCACATCATTGGTGTCAGCGGGAGGAATAGCGTCACATCATTGGTGTCAGTGGGAGGAATAGCATCACATCATTGGTGTCAATGGGAGGAATAGTATCCCATCATTGGTGTCAGTGGGAGGAATAGTGCTCCATCATTGGTGTCAGTGGGAGGAATAGCGCCCCATCATTAGTGTCAGTGGAAGGAATAGCGCCCCATCATTGGTGTCAGACGGAGGAAAAGTGCCCCATCATTGGTGTCAGACGGAGGAATAGTGCCCCATCATAGGTGTTAGTTGGTGGAATAGCATCACATCATTGGTGTCAGTTGGAGCAATAGCGTCACATCATTGGTGTCAGGGGAGGAATAGCATCACATCATTGGTGTCAGTGGGAGGAATAGCATCACATCATTGGTGTCAGTGGGAGGAATTTTTGCCCTGCTCTTGGTACAAATGGTGCCTCATTCATGGTGTCAGTGGGAGTAAAGAGGAATAGCGCCCCAGGGGCTGGATTACGGCAAAGGGCTGCAATTTGGAGACCACTGGTACAACGTATGGCCAGCTTAATGGGTCCTCAGCAATAATACTTTAGTGGGTTCTAATCTTTTCCTACTCCATCCAAATCTAACCGTAAGTTTGGGGGGGGAAATACGCTTTTTAAAATATTAAAGAAAAACGCTACATTGTAATTGTAAGCCGTCCATAGATGGATCGAATCTCAGCCAGTGGATCAGGGAGCGGCAGAAATTCGTTTTGCCTATGGGCAGGCTGGTTATATTGAAGTCAATCCGTCGACTGACTCCAATACAACCAGCCTGTCGGGTTTTTCCTGAACAATCACCGCCGGCGGCCATAGCGGCTAGCAGTGATCATTGTGTTCTGCCGGCCAGGGATCTGTCAGAATACAATATTGCTGTAGGAAGTCCGTGTTGATGGGGGAATTGAGCAATTGTAGCCCATCGTTGCAGGAAAGAAAATTGTACAATGTATGGCCTGCTTTAGACATACAATATTTTTGGGGTGTTTCGTGGTATTGAGGCTCAAACACTTCACCTGAGCAGAAGTAGAAGTCAGAATGATTTTACAAATCTGGCGACTCTGGCGGTACGATTGTCACAATGGCGGTCATGGTCGTCCCTCACCTAGAAGAGATGCTTTCCATACAAGCAGAAGCGGCGTCTCTGTGCGTCCGTCACCTTCCCGCCTCCTTCCGCTGACACAGGGACATAGTTGGGGTTTGGAAACCAAATTCTCATCAGATCTGACATTCCTTATCCTGGGGGAGAGGAGATTGAGACGTCTCCCCGCACAGATCCGTCCGCCTTATCGAAGTCGCTCTCAGACTAATCTGTGCGAAGATAAACAGGAAATCGGAATTCTAACACAGCGAATACCTTTATATAGAACTTTCCTATGGGAGGCAAAGAGGAGCCCAGGAAGCTTTCTCAGCAGCCAGGCACTGGGAATGGGGAAAGAAAATTCGGCCTCCTGCACAAAGGACGTGAAAACATCGCTATTACGTGCGTTTTTTTTGTTTTTACCTCTAAATGCACCTTTGTTAGCCTATATGGCCATACACACAAAGACATTAGGAGAGGAGGGTATAGAATCTAAAAAAAACCAACAAAAAAAAAAAAACGCACCACCAGCGCATTCAGGAGAAGAGCATTTGGGCAGAAAAAAAAAGCTGCACGCACCTAAATGCTAGCGCTTGAGCGTTCATTCATTCTAACGCCACAACAAATGGATGATCTGGCCAGTGGAACGGAACGCCCAAACGCTTGATGCGCCTAAACACATTTGCAAATCGTGGATTTACCCCAGGTTCACACCTAAGCGTTTCCCGCAGTACAGTCCATTTAACGTGATTGCCTATGGGACAGGTTCACATCTCTGCGTTTTCACCCGGTGCGTTTTTTGGAAAGGGTCGGGGACTTTTTTGAACGCAAAAAGTTGCGTTTTTGGTTCTATAGACTTGAAATGGAGACGCTGCAGAAAAGCATGTTTTGCCTTTTTTGCTGCATTTTGCATTTTAAATCTGCCTAGCAACAAGAAAAAAAAAAAAGCAAAAACGCAATGCAGAAACGGATTAAACGCAAACTGCATACGTGGGAACCTAGCCTTAGGTGGGGTTTTAAAGCTTCTTTTTCCTCCAGGAGAGGTAAAAAAAACATCCTGTGTGCATGAGGCCTTAGCCCCCCTTATGTATTATACGTGGAGATCAATTCCCTCCTTATGTATATACGTGGAGATCAATTCCCTCCTTATGGTGATCATATCCCCCCCCCTTATGTATTGTACATGGAGATCATATCCCCCCTTATGTATTATACATGGAGATCATATCCCCCCTTATGTATTATACATGGTGATCATATCCCCCTTATGTATTATACATGGTGATCATATCCCCCTTATGTATTATACACAGAGATCATATCCCCCCTTATGTATTATACATGGTGATCTTATCCCCCCTTATGTATTAATACATGGAGATCATATCCCCCCTTATGTATTATACATGAGATCATATCCCCCCTTATGTATTATACATGGAGGATCATATCCCCCCTTATGTATTATACATGGTGATCATATCCCCCCTTATGTATTATACATGGAGATCATATCCCCCCTTATGTATTATACATGGTGATCATATCCCCCTTATGTATTATACATGGAGATCATATCCCCCCTTATGTATTATGGAGATCATATCCCCCTTATGTATTATGCATGGAGATCATATCCCCCTTATGTATGATACATGGAGATCATATCCCCCCTTATGTATTATACATGGTGATCATATCCCCCCTTATGTATTATACATGGAGATCATATCCCCCCCTTATGTATTATGCATGGAGATCATATCCCCCCTTATGTATTATACATGGAGATCATATCCACCCTTATGTATTATCATGGAGATCATATCCCCCCTTATGTATTATACATGGTGATCATATCCCCCCTTATGTATTATACATGGAGATCATATCCCCCCTTCTGTATTAAACATGGTGATCGTATCCCCCCTTATGTATTATACATGGTGATCGTATCCCCCCTTATGTATTAAACATGGTGATCGTATCCCCCCTTATGTATTATACATGGTGATCATACCCCCCCTTATGTATTATACATGGAGATCGTACCCCCCTTATGTATTATACATGGAGATCATATCCCCCCTTATGTATTATACATGGAGATCATATCCCCCCTTTATGTATTATACATGGTGATCATATCCCCCCTTATGTATTATACATGGAGATCATATCCCCCCTTATGTATTATACATGGTGATCATATCCCCCCTTATGTATTATACATGGAGATCATATCCCCCCTTATGTATTATACATGGAGATCATATCCCCCCTTATGTATTATACATGGAGATCATATCCCCCTTATGTATTATGCATGGAGATCATATCCCCCCTTATGTATTATACATGGAGATCATATCCCCCCTTATGTATTATACATGGTGATCATATCCCCCCTTATGTATTATACATGGAGATCATATCCCCCCTTCTGTATTAAACATGGTGATCGTATCCCCCCTTATGTATTATACATGGTGAGTATCCCCCTCTTATGTATTAAACATGGTATCCCCCCTTATGTATTATACATGGTGATCGTACCCCCCCTTATGTATTATACATGGAGATCGTACCCCCCTTATGTATTATACATGGAGATCATATCCCCCCTTATGTATTATACATGGAGATCATATCCCCCCTTATGTATTTTATACATGGTGATCATATCCCCCCTTTATGTATTATACATGGAGATCATATCCCCCTTATGTATTATACATGGAGATCACATCCCCCTTATGTATTATACATGGAGATCATATCCCCCCTTATGTATTATACATGGAGATCATATCCCCCCTTATGTATTTATACATGGAGATCATATCCCCCCTTATGTATTATACATGGAGATCATATCCCCCCCTTATGTATTATACATGGTGATCATATCCCCCCTTATGTATTATACATGGAGATCATATCCCCCCGTTATATAATTATACATGGTGATCATACCCCCCTTATGTATTATACATGGTGATCATATCCCCCCTTATGTATTATACATGGTGATCGTATCCCCCTTATGTATTATACATGGAGATCATATCCCCCCGTTATATATTATACATGTAGATCATATCCCCCTTATGTATTTATACATGGTGATCGTATCCCCCTTATGTATTATACATGGAGATCATATCCCCCCGTTAGATATTATACATGTAGATCATATCCCCCCTTATGTATTATACATGGTGATCGTATCCCCTTATGTTATTATACATGGAGATCATATCCCCCCTTATATATTATACATGGAGATCATATCCCCCCTTATGTATTATACATGGTGATCATACCCCCCCTTATGTATTATACATGGAGATCATATCCCCCCTTAATCTCCTCTTCTCAGAGAGAATAAATTCAGTTCCTCTAATCTTTCCTCATAGCTGAGCTCCTCCATGCCTCTTATCAGTTTGGTTGCCCTTCTCTGTACTTTCTCCAGTTCCCTAATGCTCTTTTGTGAATTGGTGCCCAAAAACTGACCTGCATATTCCAGATGAGGCCTTACAATGTTCTTTCAATATCATCATACCTTTTCTTGTGTTAAAAATTTTTTTATTACAATATATTCACGCAGAATTCTTACAAAAATGCACGTTTACAGAAATCTGAAGACAAATACCCAACGCGTTTCGGGGGCTATGGCTCCTTCTTCAGGGGTAACTTTGTAAACAATGATTTTTTTTTTTACTGGATTGTTTACAAAGTTACCCCTGAAGAAGGAGCCATAGCCCCCGAAACGCGTTGGGTATTTGTCTTCAGATTTCTGTGAACATGTAACTTTTGTAAGAATTCTGGTATGGATCACAACTCATGAATATGTTATAATGAATAATTTTTTAACACAAGAAAGTTTTTTTTTTTTTGTAATGTTTTTGTACTTTTTAAATATATGGTTTTTCTGCTTTTAAAGTCTCATTAACATGTGGGGTGAATCAGTTTATGCTCTCCTGATATGGACTACAAATATATCCATATCTTTTCATGTCCATGACTTGTGGGCAGTCCAGTTGGTAGTTGTAGAAGAGAGCTAAGAAGGAAGATGGTGCGCTCACAGGAAGTGACGAGGACACAACATTTCTGGCAGGATCAACAGGTATTGCACATGCTGAAAATGCTCTTAGCTGGAGAACAAAAAAAAAGTAAAGGAATGCAGCCATCATATCTAAGGCCTCAGGAATACGTAAGTGTACATGAGTGTGAACGCCATGTTTGCATGCACAGGTGCTCTTTGCATTTGTGTGCAGGCAATCCTATTCATGTCGATTCGAATGCAACTGCTGCATGGACAAAAGACGCTGCTCTCAATTAGACCACTGTGTGCATGTCTCCAAACGCAGACCGTGTGCATCCCAGGACACACATCCACGCAGATGCTTTACATCCTCCACCAGGGTATGCTCCTGCAGTGCAGCTTTCTAATGCACACTGTGAACAGCTCAGAGTGTGCAGTGAAATCAGAGCGAGCCATTTCAGTGCAGGAGAGGAGACGGTACACCTGTGAAGGGAAGACTGGAGGTCAGATTTGATCGTATTTCCTGCAGGATCGGTGCGCGCCTTTAATATCTGGTTGTCATGGATGACCTTACTGCTCAGAGTTTTGTTCACATAAATGGGCCCCAGAGAAGGAATTCTGCATCTGGAGATGAGGAGAGGTACAGCCAGCGGCGGCTCATGTGACATGAAAGGATTTCTGTTTTGCAGCGTCCCTCCCGGATTTTATGCTGATGCCGAGTTTAATGCTGTTTATTTTTTTGTATGTTCCGTATGGAAATCCTTCACTTTGATCTTATTTCACAATGGGACTATAAGAAGGCATCTTCTCTTCTCTCTCCTCTCTCTCCTCCTCTCTTCTCTCTCCTCTCCTCTCTTCTCTTCTCTTCTTTTCTCTTTCTTTCTTCTCTGTAATTCTCTGTATCTTCTTTTCTCCCACTTTCCTTGTCTTCTGCCTGTAATTCTCTCTGTCCTTATCTGTATATATGGACTCTGCACAGTCCCACTTCTCCTGTCCTGGATGCCGGGTGTAATTCTCGGTATCTGTCCTTATTCTGTATATATGGACTCTGCTCAGTCCCACTTCTCCTGTCCTGGATGCCGGGTGTAATTCTCGGTATCTGTCCTTATTCTGTATGTATGGACTCTGCACAGTCCACTTCTCCTGTCCTTGGTGTAATTCTCAGTATTTGTTATTCTGTATGTATGGACTCTGTCCTTACTTCTCCTGTCCTGTATGTGTAATGGACTCTCTGTATATAGTCTGCCAGTCCCACTTCTCCTGTCCTGGATGCCGGGTGTAATTCTCGGTATCTGTCCTTATGCTGTATGTATATGGACTCTGCACAGTCCCACTTCTCCTGTCCTGGATGCTGGGTGTAATTCTCGGTATCTGTCCTTATTCTGTATGTATGGACTCTGCACAGTCCCACTTCTCCTGTCCTGGATGCCGGGTGTAATTCTCAGTATCTGTCCTTATGCTGTATGTATGGACTCTGCACACTCCCACTTCTCCTGTCCTGTATGCCGGGTGTAATTCTCAGTATCTGTCCTTATTCTGTATGTATGGACTCTGCACAGTTCCACTTCTCCTGTCCTGTATGCCGGGTGTAATTCTCGGTATCTGTCCTTATGCTGTATGTATGGACTCTGCACAGTCCCACTTCTCCTGTCCTGGATGTTAGGTGTAATGTTGGGATATCGCTCACATATACTAAGGCGTAGTTAGGCTTTCAGTGCTCTAAAAATATCCTGCAGTAAGTAACGCCACTGACCGCGCTTTTCATGTCTTTTATGGTCGGAGTAAACAATGGCGGCGGTCCTTTCGGCTATTGTTCTACTTTCTCGGTCGCTGACGATGATTATTTTCCAGCCCAGCCCAGCTCCAGCTTTAATTCATATAAACATTATTTTTAGAGGGCCCCTGGGTGGGAACGCCGCGAGCGGTGCGGGGCCTATTGTTATTGGCCGTGCCCTTCCTGACCCTCAAATCAGGGGCTTTCTGCAATCTCCTGAAATGAAAGTTGTTTGTCATGTGACCCCGCCGCTGATACTTTGTTTTCCTACAACTCCCTGAAATACTTTGACTTCCTGTTAGGGGAGTGTGCGGGTTATTAATGGCCGTTGTCTGATGGAGGGATCTGGTGGGGATGGGGGGAGGGCAGCGGTTGACTCTTGTCTGTTAGTGATGGGATGATAATTATTCCCGTCATCATCGGACGTCAGTGATGAGGTGAGGGATCCATAGCGGGGAATGCAGTTAGGGGATTTCATAGGAGCGGTGTAGATGATCTGTGGACAGCGGTTCCTCACTAGTGCAGCAAATGTCAGAGCGTGCGACGCATTTTGAATCTGTATCACCCCAATTTGTATTATATATATATATATATATAAAATCATTGACTGTTTCTTTTCACATGTTCTACAGTGTTTCCAATTTTTAAAAATTACTTCTTCCACTCGCACAGTATAGTTCCTTCTGAGGTTTCAATCATAGACAGGGTGTCTGAAAGGAAGCAGCTTCTGCTGTGTCTGCCGTGTTCCCTTTCGTTCTCTCACAGTGCAGCACAGTGATGATTTCAATGCTAGCTTTACAATCTAAAATCTAAGTTTGTTAGAGTGTTTCTAGTTTTTTGCCCTAATGCATTCAGCCCCCCCCCCAATACTTGCATACCTGATTGTGTATGCATTGGTTCTAGAAGAAAATCATTGTAAATGGATATTTTTCTACCTCTAAAAAGATGTGCTTATATTTATTTATTTTTACAAAGGTGAACTTATCCTTTAATGTAGAGACTGCATTAAAGTGGAGTTCCACCCAAAAGGGGAAGTTCCGCTTTAAAGATTGGTCGCCCTCTCCCCATTAAGGATTGGCACCATTGGGGGGCGGGGGCAGTAACGGGTACCCGAATTTGACAGGTACCCGCTCCCACTTCCGCTGCAATTGCCTAGGCGATTGGAACAGAAGTTGTCTTCCTACCCTCCCTCCCTGTAGTCTTGTGGGACATGTGACAGGTCCCAGAAGACGACGGGGCCATTCAGGAAGCGCAGCGCTACTCGCGCATGCGCAGTGGGCACCTGGCTGTGATGCCGCAAGCTGTCACAGCCGGGTGCCCACACGGAAGATGCCGGCCTCCTGGAATACAGGACGGCTGATGAAACGGGATGCGGGGGACACACCATGGGACCGAGGGACAGGTAGTGGCTGTTTTTTTAAAAGTCAGCAGCTACAGTTTTTGTAGCTGCTGACTTTTATTTTTTTACAGTGTGAGTGGAACTCCGCTTTAACGTGAAAAAAGCCTTTAGAACCGCTTTAAGGAATATATTTAATAATGGAATTTATCATGGGCCCCCTGTGATTGATGCCATAGTGTACTAGTTTGCACAACGTATTCACACATTATAGCCGACTTGCCTGTCAAATGATGCCACCCATTGCTGCAGTTTCAGCGCTCCCGCTGATCCCAGAAACTTCCATCTTTGCCTTCCTTCTGGGTTTGCTCCGTTCAGCTGCTTGAATGTCCAGGCCACAAAGACGTCACCCCCGAGGGAGTCCCATCATCACAGAGCCGTGTTAGACGTGCACTGAGCTGTGCATGCGCAGCTCACTGTACATTATAGCAGACAGCTCAGGAGAAGCATTTATCACAGAAGAGGCTAAGAAGGGCCCTGCCTGTCAGTTGTGCTTTTTGTTTGTTTGTTTGTTTTTTAATAAATGTGAGTTTGATTCTGCTTGTTATTATTATTATTATTATGTGAGTTTTTGTGCCTGAAGTGCAGAATTTTTCGCTGACTTTTGACCTCGGTGCAATGACTTCTCTGCAACTGAGCGGCCTCTTGTTACCAGGTCCCTGGTAGTACCCCTTCCCATTCCCTACACCTGATCCAGGACTATGAAGGACTTAGCTGACTGCACTTCTAGCTCTTAGGATTTAGTCAGCAGTGCAACCAAGGGCACAGGAAATCTGCCGCCACTTCGGCATTCCGCTTCCCGAGTCAATTTAAAGGGCCAGTCCACCCAGAACTGCTATTTCAGTGTTTCTCTTCTATCTCTCTGGGACTCTATTGGTTAAATCTCTGCACCGAGCATTGTGGTCTACTGAGTTCCCAAGTCTGTAGACCAACTGTGTAAATTTTGAGGGGTTCCCACCATCCCTCCACCGAGTTCCCAAGTCTGCATACCTGAAGTGCCCATTATGAGGGGTTCCCACCATCCCTCCACTGAATTACCAAGTCTGTAGACCAGCTTTGCCCATTATGAGGGGTTCTCACCATCCCTTTTCTGAGTTCCTGGGTTTGTACACCTGCTGTGCCCATTTTTGAGGGGTTCCTACCATCCCTGTGCTGAGTTCCCAAGTCTGTAGATCTGATGTGCCCATTTTAAGGGTTTCCACCCACGCCTCCCTGAGTTCCTGAGTCTGCACACGTGCTGTGCCCATTATGAGGGGTTCCCACCATCCCTGTACTGAGTTCCCAGATCTGTACATCTGCTGTGCCCATTATGAGGGGTTCCCAGGTCTGCATACCAGTTGTGCCCATTATGAGGGGTTCCCAGGTCTGCACACCTGCTGTGCCCATTATGAGGGGTTCCCGGGTCTGCACACCTGCTGTGCCCATTATGAGGGGTTCCCAGGTCTGCATACCAGCTGTGCCCATTATGAGGGGTTCCCAGGTCTGCATACCTGCTGTGCCCATTATGAGGGGTTTCCACCATCCCTGTGCTGAATTCCTGGGTCTGCACACCTGCTGTACCCATTATGAGGGGTTCCCACCATCCCCGTACTGAGTTCCCAGATCTGTACATCTGCTGTGCCCATTATGAGGAGTTCCTAGGTCTGCATACCTGCTGTGCCCATTATGAGAGGTTCCCACCATCCCTGTACAGAGTTCCTGACTCTTTACATCTGCTATGCCCTTTATGGGGAGTTCCCAGGTCTGCATACCTGTTGTGTCCTTTATGGGGGGGTTGCCAGGTGTGAACACCTGCTGTGCCCATTATGAGGGGTTCCCACCATCCCTGCACTTGATCTTTATTTTATGTTCTACAGAATTGCAGGAACACATGAAGTTGAATGGTGAATTTATGGCAAGAATATCCTGACTCTTGCAGCGCCCACAAACAATCAGAGGCTGACTGCACCGACCAGCCTTCAGCTACAACTAAAATATCCCTTCTGGGTGACCCGGCCCTCTAATTCCCGATTTGCCATGCAGGACAGCAATGCTCCTTCTAGTTTTCTGGCGTTCCCAGCGTTGGTGAATAACGTCAGTCTGCAGATGATGTCACTCTCGGGGAAGTTGTATGAATCTCTGATTGTGTCTGTGCTCTCCGCGTGACCTTCCTGCCCATATAATGGCCGTCACGTTCGTCACCGGCCTGTAGAGTGTGACATCACGGCGTGACACCGGCGTACCCCCTCCAGACACAGAATCGCAGTGACCCAGCTCCTCTGAACAGCGATCTTGCCAGGATGGAAGGGTTAAAGGTTTAGTGGCAGAGCCACTTCCAGTCTGCCGCCCGCCTCGCGCTCACAAATAAACGATTGTCCACATGAAAAGCCGCATTGTTGGCGAGCTCCTCCGACATCTGACAGGAGGAAAGTGGATTGCTGCAAGGAAAATCAATGGATTATTTTTTTTTAAAAATTGCTCCTATCGACCGTCCCTGCAACAAGCAAAAATGACGGGCGCGCTTTGTGCCGCCAATTGTGCAGCTGGACCATCACAGTCGGATTATGCCAAGGATGAATTGTTGATGTGTGTGTGGGGTCATGTCAGGTCCAGGGGCGGACTGATCATTTGGAAACTCGGGCACTGCCCGAGGGCCCGGGGTCAGTAGGGGGCCCCATGAGATGCCCCTGGTACCTTTTTCATAGGCTTTTTTGAGTTTGGGCAAGGACACGGGCCCCATGATCCCCTATTGCCCAGGGGCCCCATGAGTTTCAGTCCACCCCTGGTCAGGTCCAATGTGGTCACCAAAGCTGATGTGTATTTGTAGCAATTGGATTAGCCCGATCCCACCTGCAGCCTGAGGGCCACAGACAGCCCTTTTGGTACTTGTGGTGCGACCGTCAGGCCCCAAGACTCTAGGCCGGGGGTAGGCAACCTGAGAGCTGCAGGACTACAAATTCCATCATGCCTCTGCAAGTCATAGCTGTAACTGTCAGTTTTGTAATGTTGCAATGCCTCATGGGAAATGTAGTTCCACAACAGCTAGAGAGCCACAGGTTGCCTACCCCTGCCCTGGGAGAATGGATTGTAAGGGTTTGTTTGCATGTGCCATCCTTCTGAAAAGTGATCTGCGCTGGATTGCTTTTCAGAGGCATTTGAGTAGTGGCAAGGAGGTGATATGTTGCGTGATTTAACCCTGTAAACACTGCTCAGCGCCACGTCCATGGTTGTTGTGCAGCCCCATAGACTTACATGGCAGGAATGCCCTCCAAATGCGACATGCTGTTTAATTTTTCCTGCAGCCGTGGCATATGTACATTCCTGAGCACCTCTATGTCCTGTTCAGACAAGTGGATAGGGGGTGGTAAAACCTCTGCTCAACCACCTAGTTTTACCTCCCTCTAGCTGCCCGTGTGAACGAAGCCAAAAGGGGCAATGTCCCCTGTCCTGCACTGTCTCCTACAGTATGCCTCCAATCTAGCCTGCAGCATGTCCGCAGTCTCTGCCCATCCTTCCCTCCAGTATACTGAACACTGTGCGTGGCCCTTTGATGTCAGGGGCCCCTTTACCTCCTAATGCTAGCCATACACTAGTAGAATTTTTGTTAAAAATTTTTGGTTTTAAGAACGTTTGTTTTAATTTTTTTAATCGCTAGTGGGGCAAAATCAACTTTCATTTTCAACCACAGTGACAAGAAAATTACAAGGAGCAGGATGGAAAATTTTTCCCCAAACAAACGAATTTCCGTTCATTCCATCCGTTCCGTTCATTCCAAAACTGAACGTTTAAAGCAAACCCAATTTGCAGTACTTTTGATCGACATTCGTCAAGTCATCGAACGTACTGAGAATTTTTGTACGAATGTTTTATTAGATTAAAGCGATCTTAAACCCAGAACAAAAAAACATAATATTTTGCAGCTTACCAATCATTAGATGCGGTGGCTGCATTAGTCTTTTTTCCTTTTTTTTAGGCTTTTTTTTACCCCTCTTTTTTCACCAGGTGTTCTAGCTGGTAATATACCTTTTTTGTACTAGAGCGCCTCCACTGTGGATGAGGGAGCACAAACAGCAGCAGAGTGTTGGATGGACTAGCAGATTTAAATACACTAACAAAATAAAGCTAAACTCCAGCTAATACTTTATAATCGGTTACAGCAGTTTCTTTCCTTTTGGGATAAAGTTCTACAGAAATAGGTAAAAGCTGATCGTTGTAAGCAGGGACAGGGGCGGACTGACCATTTGGAAACTCGGGCACTGCCCGAGGGCCCGGGGTCAGTAGGGGGCCCCATGAGATGCCTCTGGTACCTTTTTCATAGGCTTTTTTGAGTTTGGGCAAGGACACAGGGGCCCCATAATCCTCTATTGCCCGGGGGCCCCATGAGTTGTCAGTCCGCCCCTGAGCAGGGAATATCCAATTGCGTCTCAGGATCAGGAAGGAATTTTTTCCCCTGCTGGAGCAAATTGGATCATGCTTTGCTGTTTTTTTTTGCCTTCCTCTGGATCAACTGTGGGTGTAGGATTATAACTTTTTTTTTTTTTTTCAATGGTTGAACTGGATGGATGGACTTTTGTCTTTTTTCAGCCAGACTAACTATGTAACTATGTTGTAAGCGCCTGACAGTGGTAAATGGTTTGGCTCATCCCTGTAAACTGATATATCTGGAGGAGAGCTTGTTTTTTTTTAAAAAACAACAGACTTACTGGCCATATCATGAGATGAAAATAGAAGTCTAAAAAAGAAAACAAATGCAGCCATCACAACTAAGAATTGGTAAGCTGCATGATAATAAATGTTTGCTTTTGGGTTTAATACTGCTTTAAAATGATATTTAACTCTTCTCTCTCTCTCTTTTTTTTTTTTTTTATGGCCCAGGTGGTTGATGCCATAATGTGATAGTATGTGCCACGTAGTATTACATTATGACAGACGTACCTGTGAAGTGTTGCCCTCCGGCACTGTGCTGCCACTGCTGCCTGTACTTCCATCTTCACCCGCCCTTCCTTCCAGGTTTGCGCTCTCCAGCTGTTTGAACAGCTAGGGCGCGATGACGTCACTCTCACACATGCGCACTGTTGCAGCACAGCACTCTCTGCATTCTTTGCACACTCAGCCATGAATGCAGAGAATGCTACCCATGTGCAGTCATGTCGTCGGCTGGAATCGATGTGAACAACTACTAAACGGGGCAAGTTTTGTTTTGAAAGCTCCCCTCTTTTTTGCAAATCTGCATGAATAAATCCTTGGCGTGTCACAATATACAGCAGCAGTATCATGTTTTAGAAAAGCTGCCCTTGAGCTCCAGTCAGCGACTTTGCCTAGGCTGAGGTGATATCATCAGTCTGCTGCAGACAGGAGGAAGCATTTCCTCAGTCTCCTCTCCCCCTGTGGTCAGACTGTGACTTTGCATCAATGTGAGAGGCTGCAGCAGGGTCTGATTTTGTGTCAGACATTTGTGAACGAATCCAAGAACAGCACAGGCACCAGGATTTACATGATTGTGTCACCTCTGAGCCGGCATCTCCGGGAAGTAGATGGTCGCTGTGCTGCTTTGGGCAGCCCAACCAATTGAATGGTCTGCCGTAATGCAACACACATGCGTTTAACACACTGCAGCATAGCAGCTCTATGTACTCCAATCTTCGACCGAGTATGGCCATGGTACAGCGCTACAGAACTTGTCAGCAGGGGCGGACTGACCATTTGGAAACTTGGGCACTGCCCGAGGGCGTCAGTAGGGGGCCCCATTAGATGCCCCTGGTACCTTTTTCATAGGCTTTTTTGAGTTTGGGCAAGGACACAGGGGCCCCAAGATCCCCTATTGCCCGGGGGCCCCATGATTTGTCAGTCTGCCCCTGCTTGTCAGCGCCATATCAAAATAAAAATAAATATATATATGTGTACAGTGAGGAACAGAAGAAGATTTTGCAAGTTCTCCCTCTTAGAAATCATGGAGGGGTCTGACATTCACATTGTAGGTGCATTCCCACTCTGAGAGACAGAATTTAAAAAAAAACAATTCAGGAAATCACATTGTATGATTTGTAAAGAATGTATTTGTCTTGCACTGCTGAACAGAAGTATTTGAACACCTGAGGAAATCGGTGTTAATATTTGGTACAGAAGCCTTTGTTTGCAATTACAGAGGTCAGACGTTTCCTGTAGTTCTTGACCAGGTTTGCACTGCAACAGGGATTTTGGCCCACTCCTCCACACAAATCTCCTCTAGATCTGTCAGGTTTCGGGGCTGTCGCTGAGCAACACAGAGTTTCAGCTCCCTCCAAAGATGTTCTATTGGATTTAGGTCTGGAGACTGGCTAGGCCACTCCAGAACCTTGATATGCTTCTTACGGAGCCGCTCCTTGGTTCTCCTGGCTGTGTGCTTCGGGTCGTTGTCATGTTGGAAGACCCAGCCACGACCCATCTTCAATGCTCTGACTGAGGGAAGGAGGTTGTTGCTCAAAATCTCACAATAAATGGCCCCATTCATCCTCTCCTTAATACAGTGCAGTCGTCCGGTCCCCTTCGCAGAAAAGCAGTCCCAAAGCATGATGTTACCACCCCCATGCTTCACAGTAGGGATGGTGTTCTCAGGATGCAACTCATCCTTCATTTTCCTCCAAAAACGACGAGTGAAGTTTAGACCAAAAAGTTCTACTTTGGTCTCATCTGACCACATGACTTTCTCCCATGCCTCCTCTGGATCATCCAGATGGTCATTGGCAAACTTCAGACGGGCCTGGACA